TGTCTGGAAGTACACTTGTCTTGGGGTGTCTTTTGGTAAGCTTCCTAGTGTCGTTTGTTGAGTGTCATGCGTGTCCGGTGGGGCAGGGCCCTCATCCCAGGTGCAGGAGGACTGCTGGCAGGAGCCTGAGTGGCTCGGCCCTTATGGGCCATGCAGGGGGTTGGGCGGGGGTCTGCCTGTGCTGTGGGCACCTTGGTGCACGGCCTGGCCTGCCAGACTTCCTTGGGAACTGGCTCCTGGGTTCCCCACCCTCCCTGCCCAGCATGTCTAGTCCTGGGGAAGCTTGCACTCTGGCTGGTCCTCTTCCTCCTCAAGCCCAGCTTGAATCGTTTCCTCAGGGGTCTTCCCTGGTGCCCTGTGCTGCTCCCAGAGCCCGGTCAGGTTGCAGGTTATTGTGTGTGCATGGTGAGTTGGTCCTGGGCCCCTGGGCATCTGGGCAGAGCCATCTTGTGCCATCATGGGCCCTCGGTAGTGTCTTGTGCCCATCATGGGCCCTCGGTAGACAGGAAAAGTGGCAGTGGGTAGAGGCTGGCCTCTGGGTGGGGTGTCAGGGAGGCTGTGGGCTGGGCGTGAAGGGGGCATCCAGGAGGCCTGGCTGTGGCGGGCTGCAGTAGGCGAGATCCCCCCAGCTCCCACTTCCGACGGTGACATGTAGGGGTAGCCTGGGGGTGCTTGTGGCCTGGGCTAGGTGTGGGCACCACCTGGGATGCTCTGGGTTCTCAGGGAGCCGTTCTGAAGAGTGGTCGCCGGCAGGGTCATCTCCCCTTGGGGCTGCCTGTGCCTGAGGAGTTGCGGGGAGGCGTCCGCTGCAGGCCGGGGCTCTGTCTCCCGTGTCCTCCAGGCACCAGTCATGCGGGTGGGGTGTGCACTGCTGCGGGCTGCAGCCAGCCCCTGTGGGTTCCTTCCTGGCAACCGCCCCACTTTCCAGCCCTCGGTTGCCCCCCACTTTCAGATGGGCTGGCTCCATGTGTTGGGTTCCCTCGGGAAAGGCTGGGCCCCTTGGGCCTTGCGCCCTGACTTCTGACTGTGTGGTCGGGATCAGGACCAAGAGGATCGGTGTTGGGCTTGAGTGCAGCCCTGGAACTAGAGCTGGGGCCTGCTTTTCCGGCTCTGCTTCTCGGCATTTCTGGAGGTGGGGGTCTGTGTGCCAAGTGATCCTGCCCATGGCTCGAGTGGAGATGGCCTTATGGTCAGGGGGCCGCCTGTTCCTGATGAGGATGGTCCTGGTTTTAAGTGATTATGGGACATTTTTAAAGGTTTGAATAAAACTCAGGCCCTCTGGCACTTTGTTGAAGCCTGGTTCTCTGACCCCAGACGGACTGTCCCAGTGTTGTCTGAAGCAGACCCCGCAGGGTGCTCTGCGGCCAGGGCTGGGTGTGCTGGCCTTTCAGCCATCCTGCCGTCCTCACCATCTTCTCTCTCCTCAGTCACGCCGATGATGGAGCTGAAGCCCAATGCGGGTAGCGACCGTGCCTGGGTCTGGAACACCCATGCTGACTTCGCCGATGAGTGCCCCAAGCCAGAGTTGCTGGCCATCCGCTTCCTGAATGCTGAGAGTGAGCCAGGGGACCCTGGGGGACCCACCTGACTTGGGGATCACCTGCATGGCAGTGCGTCCGGTTATGTGCAACAAATGCTGTTGCCTCTTGGGGAGGGGGGTAGTAACTGGGGCGTGTGCAGTGTGGGCTGCCCTGCCCTGCTGTTTACTGAAGCCACAGGCAGTGCCTTCCCTCGTAAATGCAAAGCTGCCGAGTAGCTGCCGAACAGCGGCGTCCGCTCAGTCGCCTTGTGCCTGATGCTTTGGTTTCCTCTTTAAGTTCCAGTTCCTGTCAAGTGTTGTGGAGCCTGAGACCCGACCCAGGGCTTCCTCCCAGTGCTGATCCTCCTGCTCGCGGGGGCAAGGGGCCCCTCATGGTTGCCTGAGTGCCAGCAGGGGCTGGGATGTGTGGTTGGGTGCGTGTAGTGGTGTTTGGTAGGGGGTGTGTGTGTGTGTGTGTGTGTGTGTGTGAGATTGGGGGTGTCGCACAGTGTGAAGGTGGATGTCCGGATCATCCAAGCTGTGTCTGGTGGCTCCTGGAGGAATCGGTGGGTGCTGTGGCCTGGCACCTGGTAGCTGGCCATCTGGTGCTGAGTGACCTTGCCCTTGCTCCAGGAGTGGCAGCTGTTGAGGAGGAAGAGGACCAGCCAGAGTGCGCCCCATGGTGGGGAGCTGAGCCTGTGGCAGAGAGGGCCGGGCTCCACCACTCTGCCTAAACGGTTACAGTCAGAGGAAGGAGACAGAAGGCCAGGGCCAGTGTCAGATGCTCCAGCCCTTTCTTTGGACAGAAATTACCATGAAATGGGTCTTCTGCGAATCCTGGCTCTTCAGACCTGCCAGGGCATATCCCTTCCACTGCTCACAGCTCTTAAGAGTCTTTTCTCTCCCTTCCACACAGATGCACAGAAATTCAAAACAAAGTTTGAAGAATGCAGGAAAGAGATCGAAGACAGAGAAAAGAAAGGTGCTGTGGTGCCGTGGGTGGGGGGCTTCCTTGCAGACCCACTCTGCACCTGACTGCCCTTCCAGGCGGGTGCTTTTTCTGTCTGCCAGATAAACATTCCAGGGTGCTGTAGTGGCCACCTGACCTATCCAGGGAGATGCAGCTGCCTGGGGACACAGGTGCTTCCTGGGAAGCCCTGAGCACATCAGTGTTCCTGGACTCAGGTCCACCTGGGCGGGCGCTGGAGTCCGGGCACTGCCTGCAGCTCAGCAGAAGGTGCTTTCCGATGGTCCTCGGTTTGTCTCTCAGAGGGCTTGGTCCTCTGCCGTGAGGCTGGACTGCGGCTGTGGTGGCAGGTGGCCAGATGTCCCTGAGCAGCCTGACCGTGATCTAGGCCAGGCGTCCCCAAACTATGGGCCGCATGCGGCCCCCTGAGGCCATTTATCCGCCGCCCCCCCCCCCCCCCCCGCTGCACTTCAGGAAGGGGCACCTCTTTCATTGGTGGTCAGTGAGAGGAGCACCGTATGTGGCAGCCCTCCAACGGCCTGAGGGACAGTGAACTGGCCCCCTGTGTAAAAAGTTTGGGGATGCCTGGTCTAGGCAGTGCTCACAGTGCATCCATTTGACCTCCTGTGGTCACTGGGTTTCAGGAAGACAGACTCCGGGAGGTGGCTTGGCCGGGCAGTAGTCTGTCCTGGGAGCGGGCGAGCTGCTGTGGGTGGGTGGCGGCGTCAGGACTGGCCTGGTGAGGGCCCTGTGTTGGAATGCACCGCGCTTCTGTTTTCTCACTGTGCTTCTTGTGTTTCGCAGGATCAGGCAAAAACGATCATGCTGAAAAAGTGGCGGAAAAGCTAGAAACTCTCTCGGTGAAGGAGACCAAGGAGGATGCGGAGGAGAAGCAATAAATCGTCTTATTTTATTTCCTTTTCCTCTTTCCTTTCCTTTTTTTAAAAACATTTTACCCTGCCCCTCTTTTTCGGTTTGTTTTTATTCTGTTTCGTTTTTACAAGGGACGTTATATAAAGAACTGAATTCAACATTCAGGTTGTTTTTTTTTTTTTTTCTAAGTTTTTGCCCTATTGAAGATGACTTCAGAAAATCCATTCCCCAGTCATGAAAATGTACTGTGCTAACTTTCTTTTCCATAGTGGAAACACTTATTTATAGTCATCAGAAATAGTGAATAAAAAACACGTTTGGAACCTGGACCAGACAGCAGGACTGCGCGTGTATGGGCCTCTGCTGTGGGCGCCGCGGGCGCTGCTCTCCTGAGCCCCTGGGGTGTGTCCGGGCCTGCGCGTGGTGACGGTGGGTGCTGCGCCTCACTGCAGCCTGGAGTTCCTGCCCTGGTGGCAGGTTGTGTATGTGTCTTGCTGTGGGCCTTGAAACTGAGGTGTCTGAGCTGGTGCTGGGGAGGGAATGTTTCCAGGGGTGTCTGGTGCCGGATGTGGCGCTGATGCAAGGCTGTGGGCTGGGCGGCGTGGGCTCTGCCGTGTCCAGGTGTGGCCTGGCTGCTGCTAGGGCTGAGGCAGGCTCCACTGCCCCTTATGGTTTGAACAGCCACTGCTATTTTCTGTGGTGAGGAAGGGTGGGCTTTCTGTGTTTTGGAGAGAGAAAGGAAGACCACCAGAGTACCTTGGCTTTGGAGCAGGGAGGCTGTAGCCAACTGAGTAGGTCTCTAGCATCGGCCAAGGCTGACTTTGGTTGGCCCCTGTGGCAGAGTGGCCCTTGCGGAGAGAAAGGCCAGCCTGGTACTGGGTGGGGCCCAGCCCTGTAGCCTTTCTGTTGGCAAGCCTTTTGTACCCTGGCTTTGGAGAAGACATCTGGGCTCTTGACCCCCTGGACTTGAAGTCCACACTTGGCGGCATTGGTTGCAGTTGTGGGCATCTGCAGTAACTTCAAATAAGATGTCTTCAATGATGCTGTTGGGGTTCGTCATGTATCATGGATTGTCTCTGCAGACGATGTCTTGAGTGTGTGGTCCCAACTGCCGTAAGGTGCCCTGTCACTGTTTGTCATGAACACCTGCCCAGGGTGCTTCATTGTGAGGTTGGCTGCCTGCTGCCATCACCTGTTCTTTCCCGCTCTCCACCTGGGCCTGGGCCCTATTCTCTCTGATCTGTGTGTGCCGTGTCCTGTCTGGTGACTGCCTGTCCTTGGTCCCTCTGGGCAGGGGTCCCCAACCCCTGGCCTGCCGACAGATACAAGTCTTTCCTGTTCAGAACTGGGCCACACAGCAGGAGGTGAGTGGTGGGTGAGCGAGCTTTACTGCCTGAGCACCCCCTCAGATGAGCAGAGGATTAGATACAGGAGTGTGAACCCTATTGTGAACTGCTCATGTGAGGAATCCAGGTTGCATGTTCTTTATGAGAATCTAATGCCTGATGATCTGAGGCGGAAGTTCATCCTGAAACCACTCCCCGACCCCTGGTTCATGGAGAAATTGTTTCCACCAACCTGGTCCCTGGTCCCGAAAAGGTGGGGGACCACTGCTCCAGTGGATGCACTTCCAGAGACAACTGCACTCAGGTTGGTTTATTTTTACATACATGGGAACCACTTAATGGTTCCCGTTTATAGAGAGGGTCTGTGGTCTCTCCCTCCTGAAGGAAGAGAACAATCATCAGTGGCACCTGGGGGTTGCAACATAACTCTGAGCAGCTCAGGAGAGAAGGCTGTGCCAGCCCCTGTGCTTTCCAGTGCCCTATATGTTCAGATAAACTTAGTAATGAACTATGGAAATGATCCCTGAAAGTATGGTCTTTGCTTTTGGTTTAAAAAGCCCACTGAGGATGTCTCACTGGCATCTTGACTGTCCTGTGAGCCCCGGCCCTCATCGTGCTCATGGACTGCTTGCCTCCCCAGGTTGGCTGGGGGACAGTGGTGCCCTTTGCACCCAAGAAGAGGTGAAGCCTGTTCCGTGCTGAGCAAGCTTGTGTTGGGAGGGTGGCGCCGTCCACTGCAGGTGGCAGCTTGCTGTGCTGCACTCCCGGTGACCCGTGGGGCCACAGGCTGGCAGGTCCCTGTGTCAGTTGGGGGTTTTGGTGTCTGAAAGGGAGGGCCCCATGCATGGGCTGGAGCTTCCGGGAGGGAAGCCCTTGGCTGGGACAGACCCCCCCCAGCACAGAAAGGATGGTTAGTATTCTGTCTTTGATTTGGGGTTCCAGTAAAATCCCATGCTGACTGCCTTCCTCTGGGGATGGGAGAAATGTCTCCAAGGGAGAGTCCCCGACAGTGGGAAGGCTCCTTGGAAAGGCTGGGAGACAGCGCCATCCAGTGCTGGGGCTGTGTTGCAGGGCGTGGTTGAAGAAGCATGTGGACACGGCAGGATGTGCTGTGCTGCGGAAGGGAGCTGTGCTGGAGGAGAGAACGCATCCCCATACGGCCCCACGGGACCACAGGGTAGGCTACCCAAGGACGTCCATGTGGGCGCTTGGGCCAGCCCCCCAGCCCGGTGTGTTTCCAGTGGGCCCTCTTTGGCAGGCAGTGGTGAGCGGAATGGGGTCCTGCGGGTGCTGGGGATTGATTGTGTGAGCCATGCAGTGCGGTTCAGCCTTCCGTCCCGGGTCTGTCCACTGGGCTGCAGGCTGGGGAGCCTCCTGCTGTTTGCTTCATTTTCCTTTTCCCTGGGGTCTTAGCTCTTCTTGGGGAGGAAGCTGGGCCATGGGCTTGGCAGCCATGTGGGTGGGGGAGGCCAGTGCCAGCCTCCCTCGGTTCTGTCTCCAGCAGTGGGTCTGCACCACTCGGGACACCTCTGCGTTAAGGAAAAGGGACTCTAAGTCTAAATGCAATGGTTGACACCTGTAATTCCAGCGCTTTGGGAGGCGAAGGCGGGAGGATCTCTTCAGGTCAGGAGTCCAAGACCAGCTTGGGTAATATAATGTGACACCATCTCTACAAAAAAAAAAAGCCGGGCATGGTGGTGCACATCTGTGGTCCCAGCTACTTGGGAAGCTGAGGTGGGAAGGAAGTTGAGGTGGGAGGATTGCTTGAGCCCTGGAGGTTGAGATTTCAGTGAGCTATGATTGCACCACCGCACTCCAGCCTGGGCAGCAGCAGAGCGAGCCCCTGTTGTTAAAAATTCAAGAGAAAAGGGATCTCACCAAGTAGGCCTGATTCCGCTTCCCACGGTCAGCATTTGGCAGTTGTCTCCAGGGTTCAGCTGGTGGAGGAAGGTGATAGTCCTGGCACCCTGCACAGAGCATGGGCATGGAGTCAGACCGAGACCCTGAGGGGCTCTATGGTGTGTGTCATTAGAGGAGGCACTTTCTGGAGGAGGGCCGGAGCAAGGGAGAGGCTGGGGATGGGCGCCAGGTGGCAGCTGTGCTGCCAACTGAGAGGCTCGCTGGTGGCCGCTGCAGAGCCCAGGTAAGGAGGCATCTGCTGCCGTGGGGTCTCACCCAGGCTCACCTTGTGCGCAGAGACCCCTCCACTGCCTCAGAGCTAGGCAGCGCTTGGGAGCGCCTCGTGCTGGGCCTGTGGAGCAGGGCACCCTGAGAGCAGCGCTTACCACCAGCGCTGCCTGGGAGAAAGCCCATCACCATTTCTGCTGTGCACTAGTTGCATTAAGGGCTGGGTCGCTGGCTCCCAGCCCCAGAACCTTTCTCCAGCAGCAAGCAGCCCACAGCCCTGGCCTGCCCACCCTGAGGAGCTGGGGCCTCCAGGCCAAGGAGCCTCGTGCTTGTGCAGCAGTGTAGGACTGCACGGGCTTCTGGTGGTAGAGGAGCAGACACAGGGCTGGGGGCGATGGGTGAGGCACCCCCACAGATCTCCACCTGGGGAGGGGTCTAATGGGTCTGGGTTTCGTAACAGGGGGCGCTGGGGGCATGGTGGAGTGGCTGAGGACAATGACCCTCGCCGGGGAGGCTCCGGAGCTTGACCGAGCAGGCGGAGGTCGCCTGCTCCGCCAAGGGGGACCCGCCCGAGGCCCCGCCCCGCCCCGCCCACAGCGCCGACGGCCCCGGCCCAGTCCACCTTAAGCGGCGGCGGGGCGGGTGGGATTTCCTGCAGCAGGGGGCGCGCCGGGCCTATTGGGCAGGGCCGGGGCGCCGGGCTTCCCAAGGGGCCCCGCCTTGGGGACGATGGGGGCTCCAGGCGACCCTCTCTCGAGGCTGTAGCTCAGGCCAGGACGCGGAGGGCCGGGTGCCCGCTGGCCGGGCTCCTCCAGCCCAGTGGTCCGCGGGAGGGCTGCGATGCGGTCAGGGGCAGGCAGCCACGGCAGCGCCGCGGCGTCACACCCGCGCCCCTTCGTGAATGCCGGGGGGCTCCAGACGAGCGGGGTCGTTAGACGGAGGACTGCGCCCACAGACGCCCCCGAGGCCACCTGCGCGCCTCCGCGGCCTGGGACTAGGGGGGCCTGACCTTCATCGCGGTGCCCACAGGCCGGCCGGGCCGCAGGGGTGCGTGGGTGCGCGGCCCCCGAGAGCCGCGGACGCCCGCCGGCCGGGGGTCTCCGAGGCTGCGGGGCCCCGCCCCCTCCGAGGGTCCCGCGAGCCGGTGGGCGGGCCCCGGGCCCCGTGGACTCGCCACGCCTCGGCCCGTCCCACCGCGGCCCCCGGCGCCCGGTCCACCTTAAGGGGCGCGCTGACATCAGCGCGCCGCCGCCGCCGCCCGTGGGGTGGGATTTCCTCCGCCGCCGCCGCCGCCGCCGCGGGTCCTGCGCCGCGTCCAGCCCGCCCGCCCGACCCCGGCCCGACCCCGGCCGGCCCCGCCCGCCCGGCCCCGGGGAGGGATGCGGCGGCGCGGCGCCCAGGATGCCCCGCAGCCCCGGGACGCGCCTCAAACCCGCCAAATACATCCCGGTGGCCACGGCCGCCGCGCTGCTGGTCGGCTCCAGCACCCTCTTCTTCGTGTTCACGTGAGTCGGCGCCGCGTCCGGGGGCACGGGGGCAGCCATGGGCAGGGCCCGCACAGCCGGGGCCCGGGGTCGGCGGTCGCGGGGGCTGGCGGGGCACGGGGCGGGCGGGGCGCCGGCTGCAGGCGACCGGAGTTCCTCTCCCCCCCGCCCGGGCTCGGGGGCTGAAGCCGTGTGCAGCCGTCCCGAGCACCGGGGTGAGTCCCTTGTGGGGGGGACACCAGTGCGAGCTGGACACCTCAGGAGTGTCCAGGCAGGCCCTGGCGGGGAGCGCTGGGCCCGGGCAGGGGAGGAGACCAGGCTGCCCAGGGTGTGGCTGCAGCTCTTCCCTCTCCACGGGGCTCCCGAGGGGATGTGGGGCACCCAGACCCAGGAGCCCTCTCTGCAGGTGGCCGTGGGTGCCTCTCGGGTCTTCTTCTGGCTGCCCGCCCCAGGCCAGAGCCAAGTTGTTCCCACGTAGGTGTGGCCTGGCCTGGTTGCCACATGCCTACCCTGCAGCCACTAGTGACCTGGTCCTGGCCCTTGACCTCCCTCTCAGGAAGACCCAGTGGTCGTGGTCATCACAGCTGGAGGACCCAGACCAGGCCGCACCCAGGGCCTGATGTTAGCACAGCACCCCTGTGGGCTGACCATGGTGCACACCAGCACCTTTGAGGTCCTGTTTCTGGGAGTGAGAGCCCACATCTGCAGGTCACTGGGCCCCTCCAGCCTCAACTTCTTCAGCCAAGACACAGGCTGGCTTAGGACCAGAGTGGCATGCGGACAGCACGGCCTCCCTCTGTGGACTTGGGGCCACCCCAGGGCTCCTTCAGGCACAAGGAGTGTTGGGGCTCCAGGCTTTGGGTGCACAGATCTTCAACCACCCACCCCCTTCCACCAATCTGGGATTGAGACGAAGCCCAGGTGGCACGAATGATGACCACCTGTTCCAAGGTGGGGCCACCCCTGAGCATGTGAGCCTGGAGAGGGGCAGGCACGGGCTGCCTGGCCCTTGTCACCTTTGCAGGAGTATGGGGGGGCTGCCGTATGCATGGCGAGGCTGAATCGGGTCCCCATGGAGGCGAGAGAGTTACCTGCAGGCTGGGGCTGGGTGGGCACCAGAGGCTGCCAACAGCGTGTTTAAAAAAGGCCTGTGTGGACGGGCTTATTTCTGGCTCCAGCAAGCCAGCATGTTCTTGTCATTCAGATGTTGCTGGTGTGGGGCAGAGAGAGGTGGGTGGTGGGCAGCCTGGGGAATCTGGCTGGGAAGGAGACATCACACCAAGGCTTCTGGAGGGGTGGGCCCAGCCCAGCGCTGGTCCCCAAGGCCTCGGTGGGTCTGGGGGTCTGGCCTAGTTCCTTACTCCCTCCCTGCAATTCGTTGTCCGTTCTCATGACTTCGTAAGTAATGTGTGGGCTGGGGATGATGGCTCATGCCTGTAATCCCAGCACTTTGGGAGGCTGAGTGAGGCAGGCAGATCACCTGAGGTCAGGAGTTTGGGACCAGCCTGGCCAACATGGCGAAGCCCCGTCTCTACGAAAATACAAGAACTAGCTGGCTGTGGTGGCAAGCGCCTGTAATCCCAGCTACGCAGGAGGCTGAGGCAGGAAAATCACCTGAACTCGGGAGGCAGAGGTTGCAGTGAGCTGAAATCGCACCACTGCCCTCCAGCCTGAGACAGAGCAAGACTGTGTCTTAAAAAAAAAAAAAAAAATGCAATGTGTGTTCTTTATGAGGAACTTGTGAAATGCAAAGAAAAAGAAAAAAGCTAAGAAATTAAAATCAACCCCGCACACCCCCCGTCTCCTGCCCTCCTTGGAAGGCTCTTCTGCTCCTGGAACCACATCTGCAGCCTTGGGCTGTGTGGGGGCTGCGACTGCTGGTTCCCTTGCACGTGATGTCAGGGCTCTTTACACGACGATGCCTGTGAACCTGACCCAGCCTAGGCATGGAGCGCTTGGTGGCTAGCACTCTGCCGAGCACGTTTTTTTTTTTTTTTTCCCTTTGTTCTGGGGTTCTGGTTTCAGTGACACCAGCACTCTTGAGAGATGGTGTTCCTTCTTGGGGCACTGCAGGCCATGCCTGCACCCAACGCTATGCCTGGTGCGTGCTGACCTCTGCACCCGGAGAAGGTGGCGTCTGTTTCTGTAGCAGGATGGTGGCCCAGGTGCTCACGTGGGTTTGATGTGCCCTGGCCACCTAGCCTGGCTAAGAAGCCCCGCTTGTCCCCTCAGAGCAGGGCTGCCTTGCACCCCTACCCTGAGGCCACACCCCCTGGGCTGAATGGCCATCAGTGATCCTGGCCTCTTCCCCACGCCCTGCCCCGACTCTGCTGGGCTCCTCGAAGGTGGCCCAGTTCCTGAGAAGGTTCTGTTGGGTAGGCTGGGCCCATCAATGCCACCCATAGCAGCTGTGCTGATTCTGGGTAGGCAGGGCTCCAGGCAGCCCCCTTCTTGAGGCAGGCCACTTGTCCACCCATTGCCCACCCTCCTGCCCTGTATCTGGTCTAGGCCCATGGGAAGGGGAGCAGGTTCCTCCTGTGCCCACTATCCCTGTCCTCAGGGCCTACCCAGGGTTCCCGACTTCACTGCTTGCTCCTCGGAGGTTACCAGACAGTGAGTGGTCCCAGCCCCTCCCTTCGCTCCTGAACTCCGTTGCTGCCGGAGGGCGCAGCTTCACCCATGCACCATGAGGGCAGGAGTTCTGGGTGTCATGTGGTGTGTGGGGAGCTGGAGGCCTGACAACCAGGGACCCCTCCCTCAGCCAGATCACCAAGAGTCTTGGGACCAGCAGGACATTCACACATCTCTCCAGGAGGGGCTGGGTATAAAAGGATGCCTGATTGTGAGGGGCACCCTCTCAGGATGGGGCACAACTAGGAAGGCTTCCTGAAGGAGGAGGGCCTCTGAGAAGCTGGAGGCTTCCGAGGTCGTTGTTGTTGTTTGAGACAGGGTCTCGCTTTGTCCCCCAGGCTGGAGTGCAGTCGTGACACTTCGGCTCACTGCAGCCTTGACCTCCTGAGTTCAAAGGATCCTCCCATCTCAGCCTCCTGAGTAGCTGGGATTACAGGTGGGCACCCTCACGCCCGGCTAGTTTATTGATTTTTTGTTTCTGTAGTAGAGATGGGGGTTTCACTGTGTGGCCCAGGCTGTTCTCCTGAGCTCAGGTGATTTGCCAGTCTTGGCCTTTCAGAGTTACTGGAATTACAGGTGTGGTCATTGCTCCCAGCCCCTTCCTAGGCTTCTGATGGGATTTGTGTCCCCCTGGGGTACAGAAACCCTTTCCACTGTGGTATAATGCTAGGCTGGGTCCGTGGCTGGCAGAGGGTTGGAAGATGCCTAGACTTCACTCCAGAGCCACACTGCAGAATGACAGGGACCCTGTGAATGTTTGAGGGCTGGGGTTGCCTGGCAGGCTGCCAGTGCCTGGGGCTGAGCCAGGCTGGCTTATCTCTGGGGCATCTGGGATGGTGCGGCTGGTCCCCAGATGGTCCTGAGCCCTTTCCTTGCCTGGAGGCCCAGCTCAGGACAGCAGTCAGACCAGGCCCTGGCCCAGGCCTCGGTGGCCAAGAGGGACTGAACTGCTGATGGGACCTCATGGGTCTGGGGAGCCTGGGGGTGAAAACTCAGTGTGAGCCCCTGCTGGGACCCACTGTGTGTGGCCTGCGGTATTCCTGGCCCCTGAGTCTAGTTTCCCCGTCTGCCCAGGTGTGTGTAGGGATGGCACAGGTCGGTGCAGGTACTTCGAGTCACAAAGGTCCGGCCTGACAAGGGCACAGTGGCTTCTGCCCCTCTGGTCCCGGGCGCCCCATGGGCGAGTGCCACTCATGCACAAACAGTGCTAATGAAGAACCTGATTTAAATGAAAACGTCTGAGTTAAAATTTTCCATTCCACATTTAGCTGTGGCGGACATTCTGCCCCTAAGCCACCCCGCCTTGCTGGGCGGTGTCTCCCTGCCAGCCCTGGCGGGACTTGGGGCCTCAGCCCGGGTGGGGCACACGGTGGTGGTGCAGGTCGTGGCCTGTGGCCCTGGAGGAGGGATTGGAATCTCGACGCTGGGCCCCCCCCGGACCTGCCCTCCCCCATAGCTTGGGTGGAGCCAGCCAGGAGGGACTTGGACGCGGAGGGCCAGACACCCCATTTGCAGACTGGGCCAGACACCCCATTTGCAGGCCGGGCCAGACACCCCATTTGCAGACCGGGCCAGACACCCCTTTTGCAGACCGGGCCAGACACCCCATTTGCAGGCCGGGCCAGACACCCCATTTGCAGGCCGGGCCAGACACCCCATTTGCAGGCCGGGCCAGACACCCCATTTGCAGGCCGGGCCAGACACCCCATTTGCCGACTGGGCCCAGAGCCTGCTTCTGCCTGGCCCTCCGGCACGTGAGGCTGGTGTGTGCCATCAGGCTGGGTGGGAGGAGCCTCCCCAAGCCTGGACCCAGACCACCGCCTGCTGGGCCTGCCTGTGGGACTGCGTGTCCTTGCGTGTCCCTGAGCATCCACACACGGCCTCCCTGTCCCCACATGTCCTCATGCGTCCTCGTGTGGCCCTGTGCGTCTTCATCTTTGCCCTGCCCGCAGAAGTGCAAAGGGAAGCTGAGAGAGCGGGAGGGCCGTGTCTGAGGCCCAGAGTGAGGGCAGCCGAGCTGAAGCTGGGCAGGGCCGGGGACAGTGTGAGGAGGGTGCGTGTGCACGCCTGTGTTCACGTGCGCACACGTAGGTCTTGGTGGGTGAATGATGTGCGGGCGTGTCTGCATTCATGGATGCGG